TGAAATTAACAAATTTTATAACATAATTGTAATAGTATTCTTATATTTTTATATACTTTCTATACTTTTTATACTTTTATATATTTGTACTTATATATTTTTATATTTTTTATACTTTTATATATTTATAATCTTATACTTTTTATACTTTTATACTTATTTATTCTGAATAAATATAACCTAACCAATCAAAATTCTTCAAGATTTATACTGTTCTTCTTTATTTTTCTATTTTTCATATTTAGTAAATTAGAATTTTATTTTTAGTTAGTGTAATTATCTTTTATATTTTTTTCTTGTTTTTAATATTATATTTATATTTTGTGAAAAATATATAAATATAAATTATAGTTGAGTCTTAACTTAACATGTCAGAACTTGAAAATAAATAATATAATAAAACAAATATCTTTTAATACTTAAATAATTTGTCTTTCTCTCTCAACTATATACTTTAAATCTTGTGAACAAATAGCTTTATTAAATTAAAATTTTATTATATATTAGTCTTTTGATATTTTTGTTTTAATCAAATTATTTGGAATTCCTCAACTAAAGATATCATAATTTCTTTTTTGTGAAAAAACAAAGTGAAAAAATCTTTATTATTTTTGTTATTTTTGTTATTTTATTAGTTCTAGAACATATTTATATTAGTATAAAGAGTTTGTTCATCACTTTAATTAAATAATTTATAAATTAATTAATTAATACAATTAATCAGAATGCTATATCTAATTAAAATCCTATTATTTTATACTTTTTCTCTTTTTGAACTATAATAATTTTAGTAGAAATTAATATAGAACTTAGATATTATTTTTATATTATTCTTATATTTATTTAATTATCTCTTCTAACTCTTGTTCATGTTTAGTAATTAATTATCTAATTAGTAAAAAATGTGTAATAATATTTTTAATATAAATTTAAAAATAATTTTAAATTAAAAATACAGTTAAATTTCTCTATAGTTATCACTTTCAGAAAAGCAAAATTTAATGATTATAAAGAGAATATAATTATAAAAAGAGTTTTTTATATAAATAAAAAAGCAAAATAAAATAATTATAAAAAAATATGACTATAAATAAATATAATTATAAAGGAGTTTAACTATATTTATTAACTTTAAAATTTTATTGCTTTGTAAATATTATTTAAAGTAAAATATACAAGTATCATTTGGTCTTTTACAAAATAAAAAAATATTTATTTAGAGAGTAAAAATGTATATAATAAAAATACTTTGCAAAAATAATTATATATTGATTTAAAAAATTAATATATGATTGTTTAATAAAATAATATAAAAAATATCAAATTATAATATTAATTTTTTTGAATAAAAATTAAATGAAAAAAAATAATTATTTTTTTAATAATATTTTATTAGTATTATTTTAACATATAATCAAAGTATTATATGTTAAATTTTAGTTATTTGTTATAAAATTCAAGTTAATAATAAATTATTTACTAATTATTATATATCTTGAAATTAAAATTTTTTAATTTAATTTGGTATTCAGCCAGAATATAAAAACCAAAAAATTTACTTTATATAATCTAAAACAAAAATTTTCAATTTTTATTATATTTTATTAATAAAATTGTATATATAATTCTATAATTTTGTTAATTATTATATATCTTAACATATTTTTTTGAATTTTTTAGATTTTATTTGAATAATATATATTTCTATTTGCAATTATTGTAAAAATATTTTTATAATGATTTTGCAAGCAAAAATAAATATTCTTTAAATAAAATTCCAATTATTACTATATTTATTTTACTATTTTTTTTTGAATTTATCATAAATATTATATAAAATAATTAATAATAGAATAACTGAATTATAAATTATTTAAAATTTCACTTTGTTTAAAAAATTTTTTGAATAAAATAATTTATTTGAAAATTTGTAAATTTAAATTAAATAAATATAGTTTTATTTTAATATATTTTAAAATATTATTAATAATCTAGTTTTTCTTGAATACTCATATTTAATTGAATAATTATATTAATTTTATTTTGATCAAAATTAATTCTACCACATAATAGGTATACTTGCTACTCATATCCAAAAAAAATAATTTTCTGGCCAATATTCCATATCTCATAAAAATCTCATTTTAATATTTCAATAATTTCATTAATAGTTTTAATTTAAATTAAATATAATTATGAATATAATTATAAAGAATATATTTGTAAAGTTTTAATATATTTTTTTAAATTTAGTTTTTTAGAAAAAGCAAAAAAATTTTTTGTCCCATATCCCATATTAATATGGGTAACAAGTATAATTGTAGAGTGTGTATATTTAAAAAATATTTATTAATATTTTGTGATATTAAAATTCATAGTTTCAAAATTTTTGGTATATCTAAATATATACAAAATAATTTTTTGAAGAAGAGTTAATAATATTCAAATCAAAAAGCAAAGTTTCAATAATTGATTTATTATTTTTTATAATATCTATAATGTTAATCGTAATTAATTTAGGCATCTATTAAAATAGATGCCAGAAAAAGTCATATGTCCAGTAGTTGTCCAATGGCAACCCTGTCTAAGAAATTGATTGTTCGTTCTTTTTAAATATTGAAATTCAAACGCGTACTTCTTTTTCCTAATTATATAAAATAAATAAAAAAATGTCAGGTAAATAGAACATAACTTGCTTTTATAAACTGCAAATAAATTTTAAATTTGTTCTTGACGCGTTAATGTTTCGCATATAAAGGTTATGGTCCAAACTACGGTAGTGAATATGGAACGCCTAAAAAAGAAATGCAAAGTCAAGGAGGTGGTTGGGTCTCACCTTCTGAAGGTTCCTCTTATTTCAGTTCCGATTCTCCTAAACATCAGGTTTCGTGTTTTTCCTTTTGAACTTGAACTTGGTGTTAATTTTTTTTCATTTGAAACATTCTCTTTACTTTGTTATATATCATAGTCAAGTTCGGGGAGGGAAACTCGGCAAACATTACGACCAGTGTCTATTAAGCAAATATTGTCTATAGAACCTAAAGAGCCACTTCAGCTTGATGGACATGACATTTCTAGTGTTAGAATTTACAAAAACGGATTATTTTGCTTTATATACATATATCTATATACATACAGACAAAACTTACACCGAAAATTCATTATATTTAGGTTACTTTTGTAGCAACTATTAGGTCTGTAAATGAGCAAGCAAACTATATTAATTATATAATGGAAGATGGCACCGGATCAATTGACGTTAAATCATTTTTCAATGATGATCTGAAAGATGAAAAAAAATTCGAACACAAGTATTATGACATCTTTTTTATTTTTATCTTTTAGAACTTATGAAAAGAAAAATAACTCATTCTGTGATAAATTAATTATACAGAGCGAATACTTATGTTCGAGTGCTTGGAATAGTCAAATTGGTTCAAAAAATTGTTGTAAACCCTTACTCCATACGTCTAGTTACTGATCATAATGAAATCAGCTATCATTTCCTAGAAGTAATTCATGTCCATTTATCTCTTACCAAAACCCCAAAGGTAGTATCAATTTTTCTTAATTTTTTCTCAACAAAATATTAATACCTTTCTTGAATTCTTAGAATTCGACAGCATTACAATACGGAAATAACGCATTCACTTCCAGTAATAGTCACAACGATCAGTCTTTTGGCGGTAACAGATTCAATAACGCTAGGAATGAACCGGATGAACAATATCCTACCACCTTCACGGAAATTCATAAAGCTATAATGCGATATGTGAACAAATTTCAAGAAGGAAACAGTGATGAGATTGCAGTTCAAGATATTCTAAATGAGTTTAACATGTATGGTCGGAGCACTGTGAGGTATTTATTTATAAACACATTTCATAAATTTTTATTTATACAAGAAAAATAAATGCAAGCACTAATAAAAACGATCTATTTAATAGGGACGCGATTGATTGGTTAAAGACCGAAGGTCATCTTTTTACTACGACTGACGAGGAACACGTCAAATCTACATCTGAAATTTGCTAAATTGAGACATTTAAGATATTATATGTGGATAACGAGCTAGATTAATGAAAAAATAAAATCTTTCTATTCTTACGCTTTTTAGCCTAGTTGTTTAATTAACTGTGTACCTGACTCTTCGGGTGATAGTGTTAGACTAAAGTATACAGATACGTATATGTACAAGTTTATTATTGACACACAATAGCACTACTTATATATTTTTCACAATAAGTTCCAACATTTCTTCGTAATTAATTTTTGCCCAACCATCACCATCACTATCCACGGTTCTAAATGTATCTGTCAATGATTTAATCGTAACACAAATCTGAACGAAACTATCAAAATTTACAGTTGCATTATGTTGCAATGAATTCTTTGGACCGCCAGGAACTCGATGTCTAGAATTATATTTTCTTATTACAATATTTAAGAATCGATCACTAACATTAAACCCGAATGCATGCAAGGCAGTTTTCAGTTCTGAGGAATCTACTGTTCCGCTATTATCACGATCAAAAGTTACAAATATCTTCTTCCAATCTTCGATGTAACGCCACAAGCTTGCAAATTCTTGGAAATGAATGCTACCGCTACGATCAGAATCAAACATATTAAACAAGAGTTGTATAGTATCAAAGTTGAAAGGGGAGCCATCACTGTTCAAGAGGAGTGCTCGTTGAAGTTCAGTCGGATTGAGACAATTGGTATGATCCGTATCAATGGCATTGAAAAATTGGTGAAGTTGTGCATCAGAGACACTTGAGTTTGCCATTATATGTCTTGTCAATATTCTCGTTACGGCGGATTTGTGTAAAACCCATCTTCACCTTCATTATAATCAATTACTGTATATGAACTATTGATATGCATTATTAGCCAATGAAAATGAAGATTGGTGTCTTTCAAACAATTTAGGTATCTCGTGACAAAACAATTAAAAAATACACCGGATGAAAAAATTGTCTTTGTCAACATAATGGAATATAGTCCAATAGTTGTAGAACAGAAAATGTGAGTATAGTGAGAGTTGACCTTAAGTTTTTAATATAAGCTGTTGCTAACAAACTATGTTAACTTTTTTTACAAGTCTATGTTGCCAATGTGGAACGGCAATTACTCCCAACCCCGCCAATATGTGCATAAATTGCATTCGCAATGAGGTGGATATCACAGAGGGGATCCCCAAGCAAGCTACCTTGCATTTTTGTCGAAACTGTGAGCGTTATCTTCAGCCGCCAGCTATATGGGTAAATGCGCGGTTAGAGAGCAGAGAATTACTGGGGTTGTGCTTAAAAAAATTAAAAGGTCTGAACAAGGTCCGGCTAATTGACGCAGGATTTATATGGACTGAACCACATTCTAGGCGAATAAAAGTTAAGCTCACGATTCAGCAGGAGGTAATTATGTTTCCTTTTGTCAACATTTGACGAATTATAAGTCAAAATTCTAAATGCTTGATTTTTTGCAATGCTCAGGTTTTCGCATCAACAATTTTGCAACAAGTTTTTGAAGTAGAATATATTGTTAGTTATCAGCAATGTGGTGATTGTGCACGTGTAATGGCTCAAAATACTTGGCAAGCTTTAGTTCAAGTTAGACAAAAAGTCAATCACAAGAGAACATTTCTATATTTAGAACAATTAATCTTAAAGCATAATGCGCATAAGGATACAATCAATATTAAAGAAGTGAAAGATGGTATTGATTTCTTTTATGCACAAAAGTCGCATGCATTAAAAATGGTGGAATTTTTGACTACCATTACTCCTTCAAGGTAAATTATACTCTTGACAATTGTTAATTAATCATTCTTTCAATTCTTTACTCATACTGAATTAAAAAACAATCAGGTCAAAAACATCAGAGCAGCTTATCTCTACTGATATTCATAGCAATATTTCCAATTATAAATTTACTTTTTCTGTTGAGATTGTTCCTATATGCAAAGATGACTTGGTTTGTCTTCCATTGAAAGTTGCTCGATCATTGGGAAATATTAGGTTTGCGATTACTAATTGATTTCGTTTGTTTCAATTTATATAATCTATTTAATGTTATATTGATTTATTCTAGTCCATTGGTAATATGCTATCGTGTTGGAAATTCTATTCATGTTATGGATCCTAATACATTGGCAGGTAGAGCTAATTTTATGCCTTAATTTGCCAATAAATTTTAAAACCTAATGCAACATCTTGTTTCATTTTCTTGTCAGTTTCTGAAGTGCAAACTGCACTATTTTGGAGGATACCATTTACTTCTTTGGCAACAGCTAAAGATCTAGTAGAGTATTATGTATTGGATGTAGAACCTTTAGGCCCAGTCCGTGAAAAGGTACTATTCCTTGATTAAAGATATAAACCTTTTTTTAACAATAAGTTAAAAGTCATAATTCGTTATTATTATAGTTTGTTCTTGCGGACGTACAAGTAGCTCGTTCAACAGATTTTGGCAGAAATAATACTACTAGCTTCGCTCGCTCACATCTTGGTGGTATTCTTAATCCCGGTGATACTGTCATGGGATATGATCTTTCTTCTTCTAATTTTAATGATAAGGTATATGATACGCTAAATCGAGACCAGCTACCTGATGCGATATTAGTGAAGAAATCGTATCCAAATAGACGGAAGAAGAAAAAGTCCAGAAATTGGAAATTGAAATCATTAAACAAAGAGGAGGATGAGATGAATCAAAAGAAGAACGATATCGAAAAGATTGAACAAGATTACGAGATGTTTTTGCGGGATCTGGAAGAAGATCCTGAACTCAGACAAACAGTAAATCTTTATAAAAATCCAAATTCTAAGAAGAATAACGAAATGGATGTGGACGGAAAAGAAATATCACATGGAGAGGTGGAGTTGGAGGAAGATTTTCCTGAAGTGAAACTAGAGGAATTATTAGAAGACTTAACTATTAATGACGACTAATTATTAATTTCAGATATTAATAAATGCGAATATTATTACTCGATGTTCAGTGGCGCTCAAAAGTATTGCATCACTGAAACGGAAAAACAAAAAAGGGGATGTGTTAAAGTTTTGTACCCATGTGACCTTATGTGGCTGGTATCCATTTTGGAAGACGATCCGTCACTGTAGTCTGATATCAATTTCCGAGTGTGTAATATAATTACATGATACACCCACTAGTGCGTACCTTCTAATACTTTTGGAACAAATAATAATGAAAGTAATGAAAACAATAACTTACCACTACCAACTGAATTTGAAATAAAATAGGAGATTGGGAAATTTCTGAGGGCGCAGTTCTGCGCTGATCTATGGGTCCGAATTTCAATCTTTGGACCTGGTGATGATTCATGAAGAAAAATCTTTGCAGAAACTTATCGAATTGACAATCTGTGCAAAACTTTGATAAATTTCTGCAAGGAATTTCAAAACAAACTAATAAATATATTGTATAATTTATTTCAAGCAATGATAAAAATAGCAATTTAAAGAATAATAAAGAAATTTATCTAAAAACTATATTTGAAAATACAAACACATTTATCTTCATATAAAAGAAGATTTCTGGACTTATTTTAGTTGATCACAAAATGAATATACATATATTATTTATTTTTAAAATAATATTATTTCTTCTACTTGATGTTTATTTTATATATCTTTCTTACTTGAGTTGTATATATAAAAAACATGTGATATATTTGTAAAAAATAAATCCAATTAAATAATAATATTATTAACTATACTAATTCTAAAAAATGCTTTTTCTAAATAAAAGTTTATATAAATTAATTAATTCAATTAATTTTCAATAATATTTCTTTGATTATACAATTACAATATTTTTTGAATCAAAAAATCTAATTATTAAATTATCACAGAATTTTACAAGTTTTATTACTTGAATAATGAGAAATTGTATATTCTTAATTTCTTTCTTTTGTTTGTATATTATTTGAAATTTTATTAATTAATAAATACTAAGAAAATACTAATTTAAATTTGTATTATACTTGATAAAATTATAACAAAGTAAAAATAAAAAAAGAAATTATATTAAAAAATATGCTACAATTTAATAAAATTTATTTTTTCAATAAAAATTATTATATTGAAAATATATTATATTATATAATAAAATGTATTAAGAAATATTATATTATATATATTGAAATATTAATTAATATTGTCACCATTTGATATTTTGAATCACATGTAAAATATCATATGACATAATTTTGATAATTATTTATATTTTCTTTTATATTTTTCTATTTATAATTTTATTTTTAATTATTTAATTTATTTAATTTACATATAATTTAGCAAAAACACTAATTAATTCTTTTTAATATTACATTATTTTTTATAACATTATTGGATCTAAATTCATTCTATTTTAAATTAATTTCATTTAACATTAATTAATGTAGCGCTAATATTATTCTAATTTAAATTGTATCACTTAGATTAAATTAATATTACACTTATTATTTCTTGGCATTACACTTCTTCCAAATTTATCTTATAATTGTTTTTAAGTAACATCACTTATCATGTAGATCTGTATTACATTTACATATATTTAAACAGATGTAATTTAATATAGAATAACAAGAATCTCAATAATAACTTTAAAAGTAATAAAAGTATAGAAATTAATTAATACTTCTAAATAATTTTTTGCTTATTATTATTTTTAATTTATTATTTACTTAACTTTGATTTATCCAACTAGTGGAAGTTATCTTTTGTATTTTAATAAATCATTTGCACTTTTGAATTATAAAATACTTATCCAACTAGTGAAAGTATTAAAATCTATTTCTTTTTAATACTTTCTCCCAACTATCTAGTATTTAACCCTCTCAAGTACACACAGTCACTATTATCACTCTTATATAATTCTTAATTAATTACTATAATTAGTTAATACCTTATTTATCAACATAAGAATAGTAACAATATAATAAAAATATAATTGGCTAATTTTATCATAAATTCAGAAAGAAATTAGTAAATTTATTTCATTTTTATTCTTGTCTATTAATATTATAAATTTGAAAAACTTTTTAATATAAAAATAAATTATATTATAATATATTATAACTATATATATTTCTATATTTTTATATTTGATAATTCTAATATTTTATTAATAGTTATTTAATTAATTACTAATTAACAATTAGTAATTTATTTAATAAGAAAAAAATAGAATTGATTTTCTAATATTACAACAAAAATCAAAAATAATATTTTTATAAATTGAACTAAATCAAACTAATCAAAAGTTTGGTTCGAGTTCAAGTAATTATTAGTTAATGTTCTAAGTAAAGTAGTAGATTATAACATGAGCTACAAATTAATATAAGATAGTTAATATTTAAAATGAATATTTAAGAAGTTATATGAATTTAAAAAATAATTTTAATTATTACGATTTTAATCTACTTTAGTTTTAGTA